TTGGTGAATGAAGTCGCGGCCGCTGGCACGCGGTATTTTCGATATGTGTAAAAAGAAAAAAAGAAAAAAAAAAAAAAAAAAAAAGAAAAGAAAGGGAAGAAGAAGAGGCGAGCGTGTGCTACGCTGGAACCCGCTTCTGGCTAGCATTTGAACCCGCATTCACTTCCATTTCTGGATTAATGACCACGCACACCTGCGCAGAGCGGAGGTCCGAATGCGATTGGGGTCGCAACCCATAGTCCTTGCCCCGGGGCATCGTTGTCCTATAGTCCACCGTGGTCGCCGTGTTTGTCGCTCGAAAAATGCCGCGAGAATACTTTTCCTTACTCCGTGAGAGATTCCGTTCGCTAGCTGCCAATTGGCAATTTGTCCGAACCGAAGACACGAATGTTTGTAACGCTCAACGAGTTGGCACGTCTCCTTCAAAGTAGATTTGTTGAAAATTATAATCAGGCTTGCAAGATTGATATTTTGAAATAGGAAAACGTGGAAGAAAAATTCGATTTCTACAGTTGCTAAAATATTTATCGAAAGTGTCGATAAATATTTTCATATGTTCATCTTTTAATCAGGTTTTTCTACGTTTTATTCTTAACACTAGAACTACCATAACTGCCAAAATGATTAATTCATAATTTTTGTTGGTAGTAGAACAATGTATTTAATGTAAGGTTTAAATAATTTTATAAAAATATATAAATATATAAATAATAAAAGCTTGCATACTCTCCATTGTATTATAAAGTTTCTCTAGACCTCAGTGTCTCTGATTTTATGAAATTTTATGCTCCAATCCTCGGTCAGCTCTAGTGTTAAGAATATTTAGCGTAAAATTTTTTCGACTGTACGAAGATAATAATAAATCACATGAAATTTCACATGTAACAGTTATATCTAAATAATGAACGTGCAAACACTTCTCGCGATCATTATAAATTTCGCAGTGAAACGGGGAAAGAAACGATTAATCACCTGGCCAATAATAAAAATAAAATTGATAATTGACATTTAGTTTCGATAATGTCGAACAAAATACGAAACAAAAATTCATTGGGTCTTCTTCCGCGACCAAGTAGAGGCATTCGGATTAGTCGTTAGGAGGACAGCCTCCCCTAAGTTCCACTATCGGTTCGCCACAGCTGGCAGCGATACAATACAGGCAGATATCGAGCATCCGAGCTCCGAATCGAGTCTCGAGCCTCCCCTTTCCAAGACCGCGACTCTCGAGGCCGTGTGTAACGGCTCGCGTCCGTTTCCTCGCGCGTCCATAAATCGCCGGTTGGTGGCTATCGGAAAATTCCGATCGTGCGTGGATACCATATACGCGCGCAGAGCTGGCCGACCTGTTGTGCACGCTCAGCCGCGCGGCTCGATTTCTGCGTTCGGGATGTCCGAAGGTCTGTTGACGCAACGCAGCGAGCAAAAACGCCTTGAGAAACCGCCGGGTTCATCCTCGTTCGTGATCGAACGATCGTTTTGACAGCTTGATCGACCAAGCCTTTCGCGATTTCACGGCCGAAATGCAACAACGGTGATTCATGCCGATCAAAATCTCGGCTAGCGTATTGTGCTGCCGATCCATCAAGGATCGATCGTTTCATTTGCAATTCTCATCAAACGGTAAATTTGTACGGTCGGTTAACTGAAATTGTTCAATGATTAATTTATATTGTCAAATTCTGTTTTCTTTTTTTTTTAATATTAGAATTGTCGAGGCAAATCTCGAAGATTCGTTTGATATTTTTCTACAGTTCTTTGAAATTTATCATCCTTCGCGCTCTATAGGCGCTGCTACAGCGACAGATATATGTTATTAACTACTATCTGTTATTTCAGTTGCCTAATGTTCAGTTTGAGACTTTACGGAGTGTTAATTTCGCGACTTCAAAGTTTGTAACTGTTACAAGAAAAGCCAAATATTTTCAACTACACAAATTCCACGAGAAACGTTGACAGAGCTGATCAATACGCATCTACTCATTGTTTCTCGAGAAAAAGTATCAAGTGGTGGTGAAAATTGTTCTTTTGCGGCATGGAGATGTGCGTATCAATCATCAATTCCTACATCATGTACAAAACTGTATTAAAAAGTTTCAACAAACTGTTTCTTGGCTACAGTGTCCCTTTGTTCTTCGTATTATAACAAATACATAAACTGGCTTGGTATTATACAAATACATTGACTTGCTTGGTACGCGAGAACATTGAAAAGTTGACGTATCGTGTTTCATTAAGTCGTCCAAGAGTTAACGTCGTTCGTTATTCCGCGTACGTCGATGATTAATAGAACTCGAGGCACTATAATTCGTGTATTCGTCACGCCGTGAGTCCAGATCTCGAGTTTTTTTTTTTTTTTTTCGGTCATAATGAACCACGTGGCGATCGTCGCGAATTTCGAAACACCGGAACGGAGCCTGTCAAGAGAGCCTGTCACTTCACCTCGTGAAATAACATTGCGCAATGCCCGCTGGAGCGCACGGGTACCATCTCTGATAAAAAAAAAAAAAAAAAAAAATGACAACTAAACAGCTCCGCGCTCAACAATATGCATCGCGATAAATCATCGCGGTATATTCTTTCGTGAAAGGGAAAAGGCAAAATTCGTACATTGAAACACGTGTGTGGTTTGTCGGCTCTCTGGACAACTTGGGATCCTACGGCCAAATCGCCAAGCGCAAAAACGAGCAATTAAGGACGGGCAAGCGAATACCGAAAGCGGGCATTTACGGGTGTTTCTTTTTCAGCGTTTCGTCGGCCGGAGCCATTAACGCGAGGCCGAGGGGACTTTCTAGCGCGTTTAGGCCGGCACGATCTCGTAAAAGTTGACAGGCACATTAGCGTGGCACCGTCGTGGTTCCGCGGCTTTCATCGTTCAGCTCCTCTACTCGTCTCCCCTCTACTTTTTTTTTTTTTTTTTTTCGAAACGTCGCGCGTTATAAAGGAACCTTGTCACGCGTCACCGCGTCAACGACGAACGTCCCACGGATCTGGAAAAAAAGTGACGTCAGGCTGCTGTTTGCGTACGCGAGAGTACCGCGCGGCGTGCAGCGATTCGGTAAAAGGGCCACCGGCGTGCGAAAGTGATTCGCCGCCCCCGCGGTGATACACCGCGCATATAGATACCGGCCGAGTGAAATTAGAAATTTGCCGAAGGTCGTTGCCTCGTTTGCATTCCGCGGCGATCGGAAATTAAAATGGGCCTCGGCCGCCGCGTCGTGGCGGTCGACCAAAGCCGACGTTTCTCATTGTTTTTGCCGTGCGTGCGAGTACTTCGTTTCAAAATTGCAATAGAATTTCTCGGAGAATCAATGGTTTACACTGCGAGCGTTGGTACAGTCGAGTTAGGGGTGAAACGAGTCGAAACGAAAGACTGAAATTTCTTTTCACTGAAGCTTTCGTTCTTGAGAAAATTAAAATCCCTCGTTCGATAATTTCGAATCAAGTAACACTAATTTTGGACGTGACAGGAAAGAATAATTAACAGATGGTTATTTCCACGAAGATAAAGAACGTGGAATAAAATTTTGTTTCAAAATATCTCGTTTTCGAGGAAAACCAGCTTGAAAATTTGTCAAGTACACGTGTACCAAGGCAATTTTCAACGAAACATGTTCAAAGTCTACTTTCTTGAAAATGACGATTTAAATGAACAAACACCTGTAACACTGTTTGTATAATTGAAGTTTGTTC